GATGGGGTTTTCAGGTTGTGATCGATCATTTGGAGCCATCAAGATGTGAATTCAAGAAGATCAAGAGGAATTAACTTATATAATTTGTATGGTATTTGTATATATATATATATACACCATTGTGCAAAACTAAAAAAGGGTTTTCTTCTTCTTCTTCTTTGAATTTGGTTAACTTGTCCAAATTTCTCTTTGTTTTGTGATGATTATGGAGGAGAATCAGCGGGCAACAATTTTCAATGCCAAAATTTGTCAAATTCTTCGATTTTTCTTTTCCCAGTTTTCAACTTTTTTTTTTTAGGGAAATTAGTACCATGTTTTTACAATATCTTATAGTATGCAAAAAATTTTCTAGTGTCAATAACACTAACAGGGCGTTTGGTTGGAGAGAGGGAATTACGTGGGAAAAGAATTGCAATTTCCTGGGGATGAATTACTGGGAATAAAGTGAGAATTTAAATTGTAGTGTTTGATTTACAGTAATAGAATTACTAGGAATTTCAATTCCAATATATTTGGTATACATGGGAATTGAAAGGGAATAAGTAGTATAAAGTCTAAAATGTCCATTGTTATTGTAGACATTAATTTTAAGTTAAAAAAGGAAGGAGTACTTTTGACTCATCACTATCATTTTTTCTTTCAAAACATCCCAGGAATTGAAATCTCAGGGGCACATGGAATTTTTAATTCTATAAAAATGGAAGAATTGCAATTCTTTTCAACCAAACAAGGAAATTTTTTAGCCTTTAGAATTAGGTGAGAATTAAGTGAGAAAGGAATTTAAATTCCCTTCAACCAAACAAACGCCGGGTAACGGGTACAATTAAAAGTGAATGAAATTTTTTTCAGAATTTGTATTGAGTGCAGGTAGCAGTAGTACTAATTGACACTAACATTTCTTTATAATTATATTAAGTTGAATTATATATGTTTTGGGACGCAATTCAATTGGTCAACCAACCAATCAAAATATATAATTCCATAAGTTATGCTTAAAAAAGATAAGAATTTACCTTTATTACCCGACTTCACTTAGTATTATAAATTTTTAACATGGAATTGAAAGAACCATGGTTATATTAACTGGGGATTCTATTAAGTCCCTTATTCTATCATTTTAGAAAGAAAAATTTATTTTTTATCTTTTAATTAAAATGACACTATAATGTTTATTCTGTTGTGAATTGATACAAAAATATAGGACATGAATATAATCCGACCTCCAAAATCTTAGATTCCAAATTATTGTATTTTTTAATTAACATATTCAATAATACTATTATTAAGATTTCATTTTTAAAAATTTATCCAATATAATATTGTAATGACAATAATGATAGTGATCGATAGCACATCAATTAAGCACAAGTAGTTGCCTTATTATGTAGACAAATTTGTTTTGGAGTTGATTATTTTTTTGGGACTATACCAACGACTTTGATTACATCATATGTATCTTTCATTCCATCTGCATGATGTTTCCAATGGAAAAAAGCCTTCATATTTGACTGATATATAGATAGACATGTAAACAAGATTTGCCATAACATTATGGATCTCAATCTGATCTTTTGCCATGTTTATTTCATTGATTTCATATGTAAAACAATTAATTAACTATTACCCACAATTTGCGCCGAGGAGACTTTAATTTGTTCCTTAAGAAAAGCATTGGATTTGAACTTTGTAAATATTGTCAGTGTATATATATATGAATTCAGAATTTAAGAAATTCATATAAAAATATCATTGAAAACAATTATGTAATAAAAATTAATGATGACTGATGATTTTGTACTGTCGGGCTCGGGTCCACAATAAATCGGGTATAAAGATAATAAATCGGGTATAAAGATATAGAACGAGATTAGAAAAAGTATATTATTGCATAAAGCGCTAGGCCCAAATACCAAGACTATGGCCCGAAGAATGAGCTTGAACTAATTATGCTACTGACAAGAGTCGAACCCTGGTGAATGGGTTGAGAATGTAAACTAGAGACCACAAAGTCAGGATGCTTGTAGTGCTTTGATAATGATGCCCCAGGGAAAGACAAGACAATCCTATTTATAGAAGAACCCCCTGCCACTACACTATCTACGTGTACGGCTCCTAATCCACTTTCCTCACTATCCTGCACGTGTCCCATGCCCACAGACCCACGAACTGTGCCATGTCGAATCGCACCACACCTGTTGCACTACTCCAACCACCACACCACACCGCACCCCCTGCTGCATCGCGCCACCTTCGGAAAAGGGGGCACGAGGGGGGTGCTTGGTGTCATACGCTGGGTGCGCGAGGCACGGCTCGACCGACGAGCCCATCGACCCTCGCCAGGTGCTGACAACACCTGTCTGCACTGTCGCACCGCAGCACCCCTGGAAATGGGGGCACGGGATACACTCGCTGGCAAGGGCTAGCCCCCCAGCTGGCGACCTCCTCCAGGCAACCACCCCTGGCCGACGGTACCCCTCTGGAGTCGGCCCACCACTCTTTCGTAGACCCTCTACCCTTTATGACTTGTATTGCCAAACCAAACCAAACCAAGTAGCAAGCCCAATGAATCTAGCCCATAACCCATATCCCTATCAGTGATTTTCATATTGAGCATGAAAAACATGTTCTATATATGTGCTTATATTTTGAATGAAAAAAGATAAAAATTTTTATTCAAGTCTTAACCACCATTACTCCAATTTTACTTTTTGAATATAACATCTTGACTTAAAACTCATTGAAAATAAACAAATTTATTTAATTTTTTATTAACTCCACATTATTAAATTTGTTTGGGCACATCTAATCCCGGCCGTCTTGTGCGCATAAACAAACAATATATGCTAACAGTCACTCGTCATGCCACAACACTGGCAAATTTGCATGGTCCATGAAATAAGTATCATTCTAATTATATTTCAGTTTTATTTAACAATATTATTTTATTTTTGGTTTCATTTCTTACGTATTAGTTTCATTATAGCAATATCAAAGTATTATTTTAATTCTACTACAATTTCATTTGATAATATACATTATTTTATGAGCTTTATTTTGTAGTTTCATTTTTCACCCACACTAGTTTAATTATAATAATGCTAAAATATTATTTTAATTATACTTCACGTTCATTTGACAATATATGTTATTGTATAGCTCTGAATTTTAGTTTCATTTTCCACACTAGTTTCATTATAACAACACTAAAGTATCATTTTAATTATACTACAATGTCATTTGACAATATACGTTGTTGAATGAGTTCTGTTTTATAGTTTAATTTTTCACACACACTAATTTCATTTTAATAACACTAAAGTATCATTTTACAATCATAGTCCACATAGCACTATGGACCACGATCCACTCTATAACAACTGCACAACACTTGAATAATAGGTGGAGATCAGATGGGTTCACACATATCATATGTGTGATGTCTCTTTAATCGAAAAAAAAAATAAAAAAATTAATGGATCTCTTGAACAACCACAATTGTGTCACTCTCAATAACCACCCACCTCAGCCCATTATCATAGCGCAACCTCAAACCAAAATAGATAGTGCAAAGTTATGTTCCACAACTAAATAGGGAAGTCAAGTCAGATAGTTAAGATGAGAATATAATTGTGTTGTATTGAATAATCAATTTGAAAGTACAAAGAACGAATAAGGTAGTCTCAGTCTAATACTAATAATATAGTTTTAATAATTACCACTTACCACTGGGTTTGCAGGTGTTTGAGGATTTCTTAAACAATATACGCCCATATTAGTTGTTGTTTGTATAAGTGTGACATAACTACGGTTTAGGTGATATGTTTGTTGTATAAAATATCAAAAAAAAAAAAAGAACAAAGGTCTAAAGGTTAATGTGGCAAATTATTGTGTGGACCACAATAAAAAATAAATTTTTAATATGTTAAAAGTACATTATTTGTGTACTAAATACACATTATATAAAATAATGTATTTTCAATACTCAAATAATGTATTTTTCTTTAATATAATGTACATTTTTAATATATTAAAAGTACATTATTTGATAGTATGTTCCACACAATAATAATTGGGCAAATTATGCTATGAGCACGTGCTCACCATGCACATGGTGCACACGAATCTATATTCATAATTTCTATACTATATATCCATAAATTTCTAGACTCTCGGTGAGCTAAAATTATGAATCTAAAGTATAAATTTTTGCTCACCGAGACTCTCGAAATTATGGATATACAATATAGAAATTATGGATCTACAGTATATAAATTATAGATATAGATTTGTGGTTAGAAATTATGAATCTAAAGTATAAATTTTAGCTCACCGAAAGTCTAGAAATTTTGGATCTACAGTATAGAAATTATGGATATAGATTTGTGCGCACCATGCAAGGTGAGCACGTGCTCAATCATTATACCGTGCACCAGGGCGCACATAGCAATGTGCGCCCCGCGCCCCCCAAAACGACGTCGTTTTGTATTCTGTTATAAAATTATGTGTTTTCAGGTATAAAATTCTGTACATTCGAAACAAGAGGGTTTTTGTCTTTTTAAAAAAGATTATGTTTTTTCAGGTATAAAATTATGTGTTTTCCGGTATAAAATTATGTGTTTTCTATTATATAATTCTGTACATTCGAAACATGAGGATTTTCAGTTATAAAAATTATGTGTTTTCAGGTATCAAATTATGTGTTTTCAGGTATAAAATTCTATGTTTTCTATTATACAATTCTGTACATTCGAAACATGATTTTTTAATAGCAAACACGTGAAAAAATCAAAACAACGTTATTTTGGGTCAGGGCGCACAATGCACTGTGCGCTCCGTGCACGGTATAATTTGCCGCACGCGCTGACAGCATAACGAAAAAACGATTGTAATAATTGGGTCAAGGTCACCTCTAGAAACTTTTGGGCCAAGCCCAAATGTGAACTATGGACTCTCCAAATTGACCCATTAACTTCTGAGTAATGACCAAAACCCTTGATCCCAAAATCCCCTTCTCTTTCCTGGATTTATATTTACTGATGAGCTATACTGCATTACTTTTATTCGCAAAGTTTTCATTACTTTTACTCTATTTCAGTTTTGGTATTGTAGAATTTGAGGATTTCTGTTTATTCTCAGCCTGAAAAAATGGTGGAATTGGATGAGAGCAAGTTTGATATGCACCTGAAGCTGTTGGCGCTTCGAATTCCGCGCCAACATTGCAAAATCGCCACTCGAATATTCAACGGGTACGCCATAATTTTTTTTTTTTTTTTTCAGAGTAAAAAATCATGCTTGGGAATGCTGGAACTTGAGTATTGCTGCACTTCAGTTCATTTCAAGTTTTCTTTTTTGTTTCTAGTTTCTGGATTGATCAGTTGATGACATAGACAATGTCTTCTGTTATAGATATATGATTAACAGGCCACGCATAAAGCCTATCGCAGAAGATCCTACAAGTGAAAAGAACCGCTACGTAATTTTATCTGAAAACATCCAGAATCCAGGTAAATCATGCTAAACCAGTTTGTACAGGTGCTGTGATTGGCCCTGTATAACATGTACCAAAATGTGTTGATCAGTTGAATTGGATATTGCTGTGAAAATTCGGCATTTTCTAACATTCTCTACTTCTTGTCTTATGTGAAAAAGATTTATCAGAAGTTCCAGCTCAAAAGCTTGCTGAACTGAAAGGTCTTTGCGAGGTTGAAGTAGTTCCTTATTCACTGACATTGGGGTATTCCTATTGGAGTGCAGGTTACATACTAAGCTTCTAATAAACTCAAAATATAGTTTTTGTTTTCTTGTCCATGTTTGATAAATTTGTCTTTGGTTAATTATTACCATATATAGTTTGTTTCGAGTTTCGAGTTAAGATGTTTCCAGCAGTAACATATTGCCTTAGTTTTGTTTTTGCTATTCAATGACTTGACTAGTTCACTGCAGACCATATACTAAAACAGATTCTGCCTCCTGGACTTGAAGTTCCATCATCCTTTGAGACAATAGTTAAGTACTTCATAATGCAAACCTATTTTTCACTGCCTTCTTATGAGCACTGGGGTCTTTTGTGGGTTCATGTTACCTTCTTACTATTTGGACTGGAAGTTTGGAATATTGGAGCTATCTCTGTTGGGTTCTTGATGATATTGATGGCATGATATTTGTATGCAGGTCATATTGCTCATTTGAACATAACCGATGAGCTTCTTCCGTACAAGGATGTCATTGCAAAAGTCATCTACGATGTACGTTCATTTAGTTATGCCTTTGTTTATCAACATAAAGTTATTTACTTATTTGTCTTTTTTTTTGGTAAACATGAAGTTCTCATGTACAAGTTAGTGTTTTGGTTAATTTCCCAGATAATAAGTTATTGTAGTAGTAGTAGTAATAGTAATAATGATTATGATGATAGTTGTATTAGAGGCAGAGAGCATAGTGAACTTTGTGATTCCACTTCAAGTGAACATTTTAAATGAGTTTGATATGATTAATTAACTAAAATTGTGGATGTTATGCTTTCTATATTTGTCTCCCTCGTTGAGCGTGTGTATAATGCTACTATTTACTGCACTGAAGCAGTCTTGCAGATAACTGTATCATTGCATGTGTTAACCGAAATTTAACTCCTTCACTTTGATTATTCTGTTTTACTAATTCTTGGCTTTTAATGTTCTATGCCAAAGATGGCAAAATATATATTTAAAATTTGGAGTTGATGCCCTTTATATTCACTTTTCTTAACTCTTTTTCAGAAAAATTACCCCAGAATTCAGACAATTGTGAATAAAGTTGGAAGCATCACAAATGAATTTCGAGTTCCAAAATTTGAAGTATTAGCTGGGAAAGATGATATGGTAACAGAGGTAAAGCAATATGGATCAAATTTCAAGCTTGATTATCGCTTGGTTTATTGGAATTCAAGACTGGAACATGAACACCTAAGACTGGTCTCACAGTTCAAGTCAGGAGAGACAATATGTGACATGTTTGCTGGTATTGGTCCATTTGCTATTCCAGCAGCACAGAAAGGTTGTAGAGTGTATGCAAATGATTTAAACCCAGATAGCGTCCAGTATCTGAAAATCAATGCTGAAATCAACAAGGTCAATGATCTAGTCTTTGCATATAATATGGATGCAAGGAAATTTGTATCTCTACTGATGGCTATACCTTCTAATGAAGGAAATTTTGAATCTGATGTTCAACTGAATTCATCTAGGCCATTTGATAACCAAGCAAATGGAGGACTAATGTCTGGAGAGACAACTGTGTCAGGTATTTTGTGTACCAACTTATGTTACCTTGATGTGAAGTATGGTTTGGCATAATACTGTCTCCTTGCAGATGAGATGAAAGAAATGCCAGATAAAATTTCAAGGAATACTGAGAGTGTTGATGGTCATGAAGGCTCATCTGTTACGGTAGATGTGAATGTAACGCCATTTGATAACCAAGCAAATGGAGGACTAATGTCTGGAGAGACAACTGTATCAGGTATTTTGTGTACCAACTTATGTTACCTTGATGTGAAGTATGGTTTGGCATAATACTGTCTCCTTGCAGATGAGATGAAAGAAATGCCAGATAAAATTTCAAGGAATACTGAGAGTGTTGATGGTCATGAAGGCTCATCTGTTACGGTAGATGTGAATGTAACGCCATTTGATAACCAAGCAAATGGAGGACTAATGTCTGGAGAGACAACTGTATCAGGTATTTTGTGTACCAACTTATGTTACCTTGATGTGAAGTATGGTTTGGCATAATACTGTCTCCTTGCAGATGAGATGAAAGAGATGCCAGAAAAAATTTCAAGGAATACTGAGAGTGTTGATGGTCATGAAGGCTCATCTGTTACGGTAGATGTGAATGTAACAGCTGCTAAAAGATGTTCTGAGACTTCTCTAGAAGGTAGTGTTATGGTCAGTTGGAGTTATTTTCTGTACAGTTAGCATTAGGTGTGTTTATCAAATCCTTTTCCCTTTGGATTGTTGATAAAAATAAATGGCTGAATTTCTGCATATGAAGGAAATGATACTGTTGATGGTAGCAGTGCTTCTCTGAATGGTGCAAGAAAGAGAAGGTTGAACAAGAGGATGAGAATTTCTGAGCCATCGGATGCAAATCCCTGGGAGCATGTAGATCATGTTATAATGAACCTACCAGCCTCTGCCCTGCAATTTCTTGGTAATGTGCTGTAGCTCGTTTTTCCTTCTCTACATGCATGTCTTTGATTAAAGCCAAAGTTTGTGCTCTCTTATCATCTTACGGCATTTACTATGTAACTAGCCTCCTCATTGTGCTAAAACCCTAGTGAATCATCTACTAATATGGATGCGGAGTAATTTTCGTTTTCTTTTCTTTTTCTTCTGATTTGGGGTACACAATGGTTGTGGGGAGGCTAGCGTGTTCTTCTGCTTGATAACTTGTTGCCAACCAAAAAGATATGGAAACTTGAAACTTGTCTATTTATAAATATAAATAAAATATGTCTACTTAATTGTCTCTTTACTTTATTTTACTTTGCGAAGGAATAGTGGGAATTGGGAAAGTAGTTGATTTTTCAAATTTCTTCAACAGATGCATTTAGAGGCCTTATTGAAAGGAGATATTGGAAGGGCTCTTTGCCTTGGATTCACTGCTATTGTTTCATGCGCTCAACTGAGACAAAGGAATATGTAATTTCCGTGAGTATCTTATACAGAGTTTTATTTTGTAATTTTTGCGTTCTTAAGAAGATGCTCTATATTGCCTTGAATTCTGACACAAGGAAGTAGATTGTCTACCTTGGATGCTAATATGCATTATTTTTAATTTACTATACGTTGTCCTTTTTATATGATGCAGGAAGCAGAGACTGCCTTGAATGCTAAAATATCGGACCCAATATTTCACAGGGTTAGAGATGTTGCTCCAAACAAGGTACAAACTCACACCAGTACTGAGTTTCTTGACAGCAAAGTAGCAAACTAGTATAACAGTAACATAACTACTATGCAGGCGATGTTTTGTTTAAGCTTTAGATTACCCAAGGAAACTTGTAAAGATCACGAAGTTGACCATAGCACTCTTCATTCCTCTGGAGAATCTTGAGCAGCCCCTGAAGGTCATGTTTAGATTCCTGGATATCCTCTAGTTGGAAGAATTGGCTCTTTGTGTTTTCCTATATTGAAAAGACAGTGCAGCAGAGGAGATGCTCAAACAATTGACAAAAGGAATGCATCTCAGATGATGTCTGCTGTCAATCAGGCATTTCGCTCACTCAAGTGGAAACTAGTTAGTCTTAACTCAGAACAAAATTCATAAAGAGGCATTCATTTTCTTCTTTCTTTGAACGAAACTCGAAACTCCATGTAGCTAGCTTTATTTTCAGATTAGCAATGAAGTTTATATTTATTGTCTTAGTTTGCCTGGCAAATAACCATAGGGTCTGTTTGGTTCAGAGGGAGATTAATCCCACCTCCTCTGATCATGTTTAAAAGAGTCCAAAAAACTAACAAAACAAGGAATTGAGTGGGATTATTAAATCAACTAAACCTTGTTTATATAATGAAATTATAAAACTAGACTAGAAGACACCATGGCCTTTACATTATTTCCTCATATCATGATATAGAAATGAAATATGAAATGTTTCCATTTTCCCCTTTATTAGTTAAAGAAAAAAAAGAGAGTGATAATTCCTGATTGTCCTCCATGGATCTCAAATAGTTTGTACTGGTAGTGCTTTAGCTTTCAAGGGCAACAGCAGCATAGACAGTCTAAGCAGCATTCACAGGTCTCAATACAGCAGAAACAGCAACACAAGGTGAACAAACTGCAAATTTACCATTAAGATTCAACTCAAGACCAAAACATAGATTTTACCATTAAAAAAACCAAATAAACTGGGAGGGATCACACAAACCAGGCATAAATGCATCCTTTCTCTTCACGTCGGCGCTGAATGTGCTCATAGTATGACATTTCTTGACATGCTGGTGGTGCATTCATTTGTATTTTTTGTTTCTGTTCTCACTTTTCACCTTCTTCCTAAAGCTTGAAGCGATGATACTGAGGGTTTCTAACTAGAGAAGCTGACAGGAAATGGAGACAGAAAGTATGGATATAAAGCAGTAAGTATAAGTAAATGATGGAAAGCAAGATGTGACACCATTGAAAGTTGGATGGTAGTTCCCCATAATTGACTTTGATCCTTCTGGAATTTCCACATACTACCTTCTTAGGCAGTTAGGCACCATGGAAAATTTTCAGGTACATTCAACTATGCTATAAGAAGATATAGGTTTCTCGAATTTCATATATGAATTTATAATGCAACATTTTTGAATTTTAATGGACCACCAAATTCATTATTTGTTACCACTTAGCATTGAGGTATTATACTATTCCAATTTTATCTGTCCTACTTACTATTTATTGGTCAAACCAACTTTTTTTTCTTTGTTTATTTTCTTTAGTAATTTTTTTTACTTATTTTTAAATTTGATTTTTGGGTGTTTAATAGTATTTTAGTGTAGTTTCTAAATATATAAATTTTGTATACTAATTTTAAACTTAATATTATGAAAAATTAAATTAAAAATAATTTTAGTCAAACATCGTTAATCGAATTAGACATATCAAATGGGACGGAGAGAGTATTATTATTATTGGTTTTTGAATATTGACTTGGTAAAATAATACCTCTCACATATGATACTCGATAGATAGGAATGAATATAATATGGTTGTCAACAAATTTACTTTAAAAAAATAACTAGAAAGAAAGGGAAAATCTTAGTTAAGTTGGTTAAACGGTTGACTTGGTAATCACAAAGTCACAAGTTTGATTCCAAACTAAAGTGGCCGATTGACTTTCTTAGTTTGAGCTGGTTAATTGATTTACCTGTTTGTGATTCTTTACCGACTAGGATCATAAGGTGGAGTTTATCTGGTGCACACGTTTATATATTTGTGGGTTTTTCTCATTACTACAAAAAAAAAGTCTTTTACAAACATATGGGTAAACGTGGCTTTCCTCTATTGGCTGTGGCTAAGAGCTAGACATTTAGTTCATGTGACAGACAGATGAACAACATTTATATTAACAAAATTTGGAGCCTCCATGAATAATGTGACAACTATCATCATTATTTACTTCACGGATTCAACTAAATCAGTGTCTGCCGTATGCTCTTTTTTCTTAGAATTTTTTCTTTAAAATTACATTTTTCTGAAAAGTGAGTCTAATAAATTTCTGTTTATGGGAATGTGATTCCAATTTCCAGGAATTATGATATTAAGGAATTTAAATCTAGAATATTTAAAAGTGTTAATTGAAATCCTAAGAGAATAGTTTTTTTTTTCTTTTTTTTTTTTGGGTGTTTAATACATTCTGTCACTATTATTATTATTATTATTATTATTATTATTATTTTTTAAATCATTGAACAAGGCATTTATCAAAGAAATTATGGCTGCTTAACTGGCATTTGGTTAGACACTTTTATAAGCCTTACTATTCAATTTGCTTTCAAGTACTATGTTTGCTAACCTACTATCAGACTCAATTTCTTTAGTATTCATAAAAGTCATTTATCTTTGCCAAATTACATTGTGGACCATGAATACAAGTTTATTTTTAATAGGAAAAATGATTAATTAAGTTCTTAAACTTTACTCAAAAAGTCAATTAGGTCCCTAAATTTTTAAAAGCTGCAATTAAACCCTTCAACACATCATTTTGGTGCATTGAAGTCCAAAAATTGGATAGTGACATGTAATAATAGGTCACTAGGGCTCCAGTGACTCTTCAACCACCTCCGACGACCTTCCGATCAAATTTCGATGACACTACCTAAGAAGGTGACCAAAATGGTGGTCGGAGTTGATCGGAGGGTTGTCGGAACCCTAGTAACTATTACAAGTCACTAATAAGTTTTTGGGCTTTAATGAGATGTGTTTAATTGCAACTTTTGAAAGTTTATGGCTTAATTGACTTTTTAAGTTAAATTTAGGAGTTTAGGAGTCTAGTTGACCATTTTTGTACATTATTTGTGTACTGAAAGTTCATTATTTGGTCAGAACTCAAATAATATACCTTCAAAAAAAAGGGAAAATTGCATCTTTGTTCCCTGAGTTATACCTAAGTTTTGACTCAGTCTTTGAGTTATGACTGTATCCATTTTTAGCCCCTCAATTTGAACGAAGTGGCGCATTTGGTCCCTGATCGTTAAAATTGATGGAAAAATTAAAAATTATTTAAAATTTGAGGGGTAAAGTATGAAATTCACATTTTATTCTCCTTCTCAAAACCACTTTTACAACATTATAGTTCACTTTTTAGCCTCTTATTTCAAGATTGTTCAATTCTAAAAGCATTTCAATAACTTTAGTATGACTTGTTAGGAACGTGACTCTCGTATAACAAACTTAAGACTTAGCACAAATAAAGAAACACTTAATCATTGTATTTAGACGTGTGAAACGCACTATCCTATCAATTTTCAAATTTCTTTACTAAGCAACAAAGGTAATCAAACCATAACTTTTGAGATACAAAATGATGTCAAATTTCTAAGGTTGCTTTTATGAGAAATTACTAACGGAATAACTTTGAGATTTTTTAGTATGTAAAATTTTACGTACGAAAAATCTCAAGTTACTCCCTTAGTGAATTTGTCATAAAAATAACTTGAGAAATTTGATATCTTCTTGTATTTCAAAAGTTATGGTTTGATTGCCATTATGTTTAGTAAAGGAAATAAGAAACTTTTAGGATGGTGTGTTTTACATGCTTGAAGACAATGATCTAAGTGTTCTCTTGTTTGTACTGAGTCACAGGTTCCTCATACGAGACTCAGGTTACTAAAGTCATACGAAGATTATTGAATTGCTTTGGAACTGAAGAACCTTGAAATAGAATGCTAGGAAGTTGAAAATAGTGTTGCAAAAGTTGTTTCAAATAAGAAGTTAATAAAATGTGAATTTCCTACTTTACCCTTAAAATTTTAAATATTTTTTAATTTTTCCGTCAATTTTAACAGTCGGGGACCAAATGCGCCACTTCGCTCATAACTGAGGGACTAAAAATGGATACGGTTATAATTCAGGAACTCAGTCGTCACTACCATTATAACTTAGGGACCAAACTCGCTATTTTTCCTAAAAAGAAATGAACATTTAGTATATTAAAAATATGTCTTACGTAAATGGTCCATGATATAATGATTTTTTTTTATCTTCCCCTCCCTTACGGCCTTACACGAGTTGTTATATCGTGCACTAGGACACACAATGCATTGTGTGTCTTATTCAAAACAATGTCGTTTTTTATGTTTAGAGTTTATGTGTATTATGTTAAGAGTTTATGTGTATTCTACTATATAATTGTGTACATTCGAAACATGGAATTTTTTTAGAAGTTAACAGTAGAAATGAGAATCGATTTTTTTTTTTTAATAAAAAAAATAGATACAAAACGACGTTGTTTTGGCCAGGGCGCACAGTGCATTGTGCGCCCTGGTGCACGATATAATTTGTCCCCTTACACACATTATATATGTATTATATTTTATTTATAATTTATAATTTATAATTAATTATAATTATAATTAATTATTTATTTTGATTTAGATATTTGTTAAGGAATAATGGTTAAATAGGTCACTGAACCAATTAGATTACTGAACTAGAAAAGTGTAATTAACGCATCGAACAACTTAAAGTTGTGCAATTACACAAAATAATTGGTTACCTGTTGATATAAATTAATTTTATTGTAAACTTTTGTTAAAATATTAAAAATAGCACTGGTTTCGATTAGTCTTGGGGTCTCAATGGGAGATCGATGGTCTCCATCACAAATCATTGGAGCTCTTCTCTCCATGGATATGATGGAGAAAGTATATGAAGATAAAGTTGGTGGATTTAGAGATGGAGCCTTCACTTTTAGATGAGACCATTAGTCTCCGAACAAAGATTGGTTGAACGTTGCCTTCCTTTTTTATTTTTAATTGTTTAAAATTTTTTATAATATAAAATAATGTAGATTAGCACCATGTAACCAAGGTAACGGGTGATTAAGCAAGGCAACCAGTTATTTGGTGTAATTGCACGATTTCAGGATTAAGTTGATAGATGGGGTGTAATTACACTTTTTCTCAGAGTGTGTTTTCTAAATTTCTAGTGTTTGATAGAGGGTGAAAAATGTGAGTCAAAAGAAAATGACTATTTGGTCAAAGGAAAATATTTTTATTTTCTTAGAAAATGACTTTTTTTTTTTTTTTTGAGAAGTCATTTTTCAATTTCTACACAAACACTACACCACCACTGTCGTCGCCGTCACCACACCACCACTTATTATTATTATTATTATTATTATTATTATTATTATTATTATTATAAATGTTGTTATATTCTAAACAAAACAACTAAAATGTTTAATTGTGCAATTTTGCTAATTTTTTGGAAAATGACCCAAACACACAAAGACAGTTTTCTGGAATGCAACTAAACATGGGAAATGAAAATGTTTTTTTGGAGAATGACTCATTTTCTAAAAAACATTTTTCAGAAGTAATTTCCCTGGTTTCCAAACACACCCTTAGTTCAGTAGTCCAATTATATTTTCCTATCTGGTTTAGAGACTTATTTAATCTTTTTTTCCAATTCTATTTTCCTATATGGAGAAAATATTCATTCTAATAAAAAAAATCAATTTGGTGAAAAATGTCTTTCTAATTTTTTAGTCGAAAGATATTTTTTAGATTCTTTAATTTCCTATCTCTCTTTACACTTTTTTTTAAAAGTTAGTTTCTGAGTTATTATTATTACCATCACACCACAGCCACCACCACCACTACCATCACAAGCACCACCACCACCACTAACACTATACCACCACCATCACCACATATTATTATTATTATTATTATTATTATTATATAACAAATAATATGTTCATTTCAGGAAAATGAACCAAACAGAAAAATGTAATTTCTTACCTTTTATACAAACATAAAAAGATAGTTTTTTGATGTTCAGCCAAACACTAAACAATTAAAATATGTTTTAGAAAATGAGTCATTTTATGAAAAATATTTTTAAGTTTCCGAGCCGCTTTGATATTTTTACAAAACGCTCCTGTATGTATCAGGGCTGCACGGGTGTTTTCGTAATTTTTTTTTTAAAAAGTTATAACTTTTTCAAGTAGGTTGGGATTGCCCTTCAATAACTAATCAAAATAAGAGAGTGATTTCGTACTTAATCCATGATTAAACTTTTTACCTAATTACTTTTTTTTTTTTTTTACTTTCCATCATACCAAATTACTTCAACAGGTAGATGAAATTTGTAAAGTGGAGAAAATTTCTTCGTGGGTGGTTAGATTTCATACTTTTTTACTACAATTGATGTGTATACACATCAGATTTTCGTGGATTTCGCATCATCTTTTACAACTTGTTGGATCGCTATCCATTATATGGACTACATTTTACTTTCGAGAAAGTCTACACCCTTATCCAAATGCACGCTTTAACATGACGTTTGGTTGGAATGAAGGAATTAAGGTACGCTTTAACAAAGTATTTGGTTAGGATGAAGGAATTAGGAAGGAAATGAATTGTAATTCGGCGAAAATAAAATAGGAATTCAAATTACATTGTTTGGTACGCATGAGTAGAAGTTATGGGAATTGAAAAAAAAAAGATTAAAATGCCCTTGATAATAGTAGTAATAATAATAATAATCAAAGGTGATGTTGTAATTTCATATTGTTTTCCTTTTCGATGTTGCACCGAATTGGAATTTATAGAGGGAGCTCTATGAATTCCAATTCCTCAAATGAAGGGAATTGCAATTCTCTTCAACGAAACAGCGCAATTGAAGTGTTCAACGCATTATGTTGTAATTGCAATTCAATTACGTCCAACCAAACAGGCCGTAAATGAAATTCGTTTTGTGATCTTAACTAACACAGGGCCATGAGAGGATAAATCAGCTTAGGGTGTCCATAGCGAACCGCCCAATAAGCACCTCTTACAGAGAGCTAAACTTAAAAGCGGATTGTTACCAAACTAACTACCTGACCAACTCAGCGAGGTTGGTCCCACAATCTATTATATACTTCTAAAAGGTAAAAGAAATGGTCATCCTGGAGAGCTACACACAGAATCCATATTGAGTTATAGAGAGAGAGAGAGAGAGATTGGTATGGTTGTCTCAGTTAGAGGAGGTGTGGATTGAGCCAAACTGCAACTCAGTTTAAGAGTCAGAAAAGTTACTTGACACTGTTTTAAGCAAAAACCAACCTTGTGGAGGACTCCTATGTACACCCATATCTGATCAGACAATGCTTGTCTAACTTTCCACACCCAAAAAACCAAAAAGAAAATAATAAATAAACAAAAACCAAGAGGGATGAGCTAAGAGATGCCTTCTATTGATCAATCAGCAGCTAACAAGGCATGTGTGCGGTTTCGCTAGACCTGAAAGATCGCTAGGCACGGGTTGATAACTAGCAGCCATCTCGAGGCGTTCCCATGTTAGCCTTCGCCTCTCAGCAGCACCATTCGACACCGAATTTTCTTCCTCATATTTAGTTTGGCAGGCGAGCACGAGCTCCTCGTCCATCTCGGAGAACACTTTTCTCACGTTTAGTGTCAGGTTTAGGATCGGTTTGCTCCAGTGGCTCTGGCTGTTCCTCTCTAAAGCCGACACAAGAATGGGCATGATCACTTGCTTGTTACGCATAACAAGGTTAAGGATGCTGTCGTTGCTCCATAAGAGATGTGCTCGTTCCGCCACCTGAAAGTGGTAATAAACTCTGATTTAGCGGGATATGATTGAGACACGAAAACACATAGTTTGCAAGTCCCTGGCTACAACGCGCAAAGGGGAAATAGATGTCTTGTGTTCCATTTTAACTAAAAGTCTAAGCTGATAGTTGGACCATGACCTTTGGCACGGGGTTTGCTCTGATACCAAATGTGTGTTCCATTTCAACTAAAAGGCTAAGCTGATAGTTGGACTGCATATTTATGTTTATATATTATATGCTCAACATGGATGACATCCTAAATGGATATCACTCTATGCCTAGGTTCTCAGTATTCGTTTTTCATCTTAATTCTTTTGCCACGAGAGAGAGAATCGAGAGAAAATATTACCTGGAAATGGGAACTATTGAGGCAACATCCAATACGTCGAAATAGAGGCACCATGATCTTCTCAAACTCGGAGACGCTTATCATTTCCAAAACCTCTTCTATCTCACTGATGAACATCAACTCCTTTTGGCTATTTGTCACGGGCCAATATCTCAAGAGCCTCGTTATCGCAGTGCTAGCAAGATTTTGCTCCTTTTCTACAAATTGTACAACGCAGTACGCTAGCTGTTGATGATAGACGCCCAACGACTTTGGCTTGTGTAAAGGTATCAAAGCTCGGGAAAAGAACACTTTGTGCTCCTCCTTCAATGGCAACGCAAAACCGGTAATCACACTCCCGAACACTTCCAACAGCTCTGCAATCCCATTATGCCGTTGTGTCTCGAAAACAAAGCGATAAAACAAATTACTGACAGCCTTTCTGATAAAAGGCCTGTGCATCATGAATTTTCCATAAAGCCGGTGAAGAATTGATTTCAAGCACTCTCTTTCCCTTGGGTCTTCAGAATCGAATAGGTTTAGTACTTTTAATATGAAAGAATGATCTATAAATTTCTTGGCCACCTTCGGGTCAAGCGAGCATAAGCTTACGAATCGAAGGAGCAGGTCATACACGAGCTGTAAATGGTACCAGGCGGGATCGAAGAACAGTTCTTCATCCTCGCTCTCGCCCCGAGCATGGGAGGCACACTTTGGTGGGAAATCTCTAAACAGGTTAACCGCACACATTCTACAAACTGCAGCAATTGCTGATTCGGTGCATTTCACCGACCCCGAGGCAACAAAATCGTTGAGCTCGAGTAATACCTGACGCTTCAGATCTTTCTCAGCTGCGTTCTTGTCTGGATCACCGAAATCATAAACCGAGCAGCAAAGGTTCAGTTTACTCACAAGCAGGCCTTGTTTCTCGCCATTCGAAACATCCTTAAAGCACAAATGTGGCGAAATGGATTCCCCTCCCGCCACAATGCTGGCGGGGAAAATTGCTGATGACACGCGTTTCACTACATTTAGCCGGTTCGCTATGACATTGCAGCTGTTAGTGAACTGCATCCCATTGCCCGAGTTCGTAGGATCATTGCAAGAATTTGGTTGAGCCCCAGATGAGTCCAGAGAATCAGATTTCAATGATTTTCTAGGAATTTTCGCAAGAATTTGCTTGAGCATAGTAGCAAAGCTCCAATGAATGTAAAGATCAAATCTAAGCCAACACAAACAACATATACACAATAAGAACAAAGAAGATAAACACAGAAAATGGTGAGATGACATAACAAGGACCAAAAACAAGAAGACCATAAATCCCCAAATTTCATTTCCCACTTCAGTTTAGTGATGAACATATACACATTGCTAGTAGCCCTTTCTGTAAAAACTTCAAATTTCATCATAATCAAAAACCTAACTTCATCATAAAGTATGCACTAATTTCTAAGCTGACAAATATGCAGTCCAGTATATATAGCTGAAATTTTAGATCAGGAACCAAAAACAAGACTGCTAATACAAATCTGTACATCCATAATTAAACAGGGCATACAGAAACCACAGATCTGAGATAAGAATCATATCATTAACACAGCAGCACACCAGAAGAAAGAAATCAAAGGGATTCAGGAAATCCTTAAAAGATACAATTTTGTATCCACATGTATGTATATATATAGAGAGAGAGAGAGGGAGAGAGAGAGACCTGAATTAAGAGGAAAGTAGAAAAGGGCATATAGCAGATTCCTGGGAGAATAGCAGAGGTAGAGAAGAAGAGAATGGGAACGCTATAAGAGGGAGAAAGGGTGTGTGAGAAGTGGGCAATCACATCAATGGCCTTCTTTTAGCTTTGAATTGAAGACACAATGATGGGGTTTTGAAGGGAGCCTACTATTTTTTCTCTCTGAACACACTTTAATTTCCTTTCTTTCTCTCTCTCTGCTCTTTTTCTCTTTTCTTGGTACCAAGAAAAACACAGAAAATGCATAGCAGCAGCAGTGAAAGAAAGAAATGGTTTTTGATTGATCTTCTTTTGTCTGTTTTACACAGCATCACTGATACATGGGCGCCACTCTCTGCTCCCTCAGTTGAGAGAGAGCGCCACTTTCACAGAATTTGCAGCCATCGGACGGTGGTCACAATTCTACTTGTATTATTACTACTGCCACCCTCCCCCACCATTGTTCCGATCACTTCAATCCTACTATTTTTTTTTTTTTTTTAATTTCTACACTTTAAATTTTGTTTGAATTATCCAAGGGTATGCATCGAAAAATTTCAATTTTTGTTGGATTCGAATTGGTAACATTTGGGAAATAAAATTTATAACTTTAATTTTAATATATTTTTCGTTTTATCCGTCATATTTATTATTTATGAATCAAATCAATCAATTTTCTTTGCTTATTTTCTTAAGTATTTTTAAATTAATTTTTTATATTTAATAGTATTTGTAATATAATTTTTAAATATATAAATTTTATATATTAATATTTAACTTAACATTATGAAAATTTAAATAAAAAATAACTCCAATCAAGTGTTGGTGTCTCATTAATAAACCAGACATTTAAAATGAAATGAATAGTATATTACAGGTCGTTTAGTTGGAGGGAGAAATTATGTGGGAAAGGAATTGTAATTCTATGATGGCCCGTTTGGTTCACGTTCACGGAATAGGCCGGGAATGACATAGAATTCCCAGAATAGGCCTATTCCTTTATTTGGTAACCATTTCTATTACCAGTAATAATATTCCTGGTAATAGCCTATTACCTCAAATAAGGTAATAGCTATTATTAGGGTCCCCCTGGTATTAGCCTATTACTGAACGCTCAGAAATAGATTTTCGAATCTATTTTCTTTTTTACCCCTTTCTTTAACCTAATTTTTTTAATCCTATATATAAATTTATCCTATTTCACCACCGTCGTCGCCACCACCACCATCACCGCCATCGCCGCCGCCACCAACGCCACAACCGTCGCCGCCCCCACCACTACCACCGCCACCACCACCACAACCACCCCAGCACCACCACCGCCACCACCACCATCACCACCACCGCCGCCGCCGCCACCACCACCGCCACCGTCACCACCACCGCCGCCGCCGCCGCCACCACCACCGCCGCCACCAAAACCACCAGAACCACCACCCAGCAGCACCACCGCCACCACCACCGCTACAACCGTCGCCGCTCCCACCACCACTGCCACAACCGTCATCGTCACCACCACTACTGTCGCCCCCACCACTGCCACCGCCACCACCACCACTACCACCCCAGCACCACCACCATCACCACCACCACCGCCACCACCACCACCACCATCGCCACCATCACATATTTTTATAAGGGTATTTACGTCTTTTAAAATATATTTCATTTCTATTCCTTAAATCAACCAAACACTGTAATATAATTCCTAAGTCTGTTCCTTCCGCGAACCAAACAATAGAATACAATTCCTATTCTATTCTTTGCCTATTCCATTCCTTATGAAATAGCATTCCTATTACCTCAAAATTCATTTCGTGAACCAAACGTGCTGTGAGAGTTGAATTACTGGGAATAAAGTGGGAATTTAAATTTCAGTGTTTGGTTGACAGGAATAGAATTACTGGGAATTTCAATTCCAATGTTTGGTATACATGGGAATTGAAAGGGAGTAAGTAGTATAAAGTCAAAAATGTCCATTATTATTGTTAGACATTAATTTTAAGTTAAAAAAGAAAGAGATAATTTTGACTCATCACTATCTTTTTTTCCTAGGAATTAAAATCTCAGGGGGGACATGGGATTTTAATTCCATGAAAATGGGGAAATTGCAATTCCCTCCAACCAAACTACGGAATTTAATGGCCTTTGGAATTAGGTGGGAATTAAGTGGGAAGAGAATTTAAAATCCCTCCAACCAAACGCCCTGTTAGATATTAATATATTTTTTTTGGCATAACACATATAAATAATTTGATTTACGGAAAAGCTTTTACTGACTACTCGAAAGCTCACAAATGACCATAATGAAGTAAATTAACTTAGTTCGTAGCTGACCAACTCAAATCAAGAAATTAAAGACAATAGACAATCTCTCATGTGAAGTCAACTATCCGATTATCTTGGTTAGAAATTTAAATTAAAAAAATTTTTTTTTTTAATAAAGAAGACTGCATTGTTGGTGTTGGATATGATTTTTGACCGGAGAAACTATGATAATATGATCAGCCGACGTGAGCTTTCCTTTTCTTGTTTTTTTATCTTTAAATTTATTTAATTTTTATAAATATTAAAAGATGATGTGACAGTGACAAATTAAGATGATTAAAATAATTTTATTTTTTATATAAATTATTTATATTTTAAAAAGATATTAATTAATTTAAATTAAATAATATAATGCAATTACCTTATCTAGTGTAATTTACATCTCCTATGTAATTTGTGAGATAGATATTACAAAATTGGCCGTGTAATTTACTCAATATACATATTCGAATAGTGGCCGTGCGTTCCTTATCACTAAAAAAAACAGTTGTTTTTGTAAAAAGTGTATATAGTCATTGTGGTGTTTTAAGAGGTTGACCAAGTTAATTTATATTATCAAAATATAACAAATAAAAAATAAGATAAAAACAATAAGTTTGACTTATGTCAACGAAAATTCAGCAGGCAAATTTATTAAAAATAATTCACAACAAATTGAGAAAATTGTGAATAGTAAAGAATGTAATGTAAGTTTTACCAATTTTGTTAATGTAGTCTTTAGTTTTTAATTCCAATCAATTTGATCCTTAAACTGTTTAAAATTTCGTCAATTAAAAATTCTTTCAGGGATCAAATTGATGAAATTTAAAAAAAGAAATGAAAATCACTATTTTGATGACTGAAAGAGTTTAATTGACGAACTTTTAAATAATTTGATAATCAAATTAGTTAAAATTAAAAATTATGGACTACATTGACAGTTAAGAAACAATTGAAGAATCAAAATGGTGATTAACTCTTTTTTAATTTAGTTAATTTTAATTAGGTACATTAGGTTCATAGAATACCAACACCTCATTGATTGGAATCTATTAGGTTTTTTTAATTTAAAAAAAAAAAAAAAGAATTTCCTTTTTTCTTGTCTTTTCTCTTTGCTTTTTGTTTTTGGACGTGCTCTCTAACCTCTCTTAGTTTGGCACTTTGGCACAATAACTAAAACTTAGAATTAATATCAAATTTATTCATAAAACGTGAGGATTTCATTGAATGAGTTAGATGTGACTCTATATTTATCGTTAATTTGCTGAAGAGAGAGAAATAAAGAATAATAATATTATAAAGGGTTTGATTGTCAATTGACTTATGCTATACAAAATAGAGATGAAATGTTAAGTTGGTGTTATCTCTAGAGAGCATAATAAAATGGTTGACTGGTTGATTATCTTTCGAAATTACAAATTGTCATGATTGTGGTATGATGGTGATTATAAAATCCCACCCCCTCTCTCCGATTTGCAGGTGTTTATGTACTAGTCGCCTTGTGTCGACTATCGAGAGACTTGCCCTATATAGTTTTGTTTTATTTTTTTAAGTATCCCTTTCTTAGAAATTTAAAAAAAAAAAAAAAAAAAAAAAACATAGCCATCAAAATTTTGTAATTTTTTAAAAATAAAATGTTCAATAATAATTTCATCATATTTTTGCTTTAACTTTTATGATTTTATCAAATTGAATCTTTCATCAGGTAATGTCTTGCTACTAATAACATGTAAAAATTTATTAATATAAAGTGATATTAAAAATAAAAAAAAAAATCGCCTGGATTTGCTCATCTTCAACATGTTTTTTTTTTTTTAATTTTTTTATGTAGAGTGATATATATATATATATATATATATATATATATATATATATATATATATATATATATATATATATATATTTGTCAAGACAAATATGAAAATATGATATTGGGAAAGGGCACAACAACAATAATATTAACATTAATCATTACAATAATACATGGTTAAGGTTGGGTAGCCTTTTTATTGGGATCTAAAAAGACGACAAACTTTTTGACTTAATTCTAATTAGAAAAGTTATAATTTATTAATAAAAACAAAAACATGCTAGATATTTCTTAACTTTTTTTTTTTTTTTTTTTTTTTTAAATTCAATATCAATAACAATAAGGATGAATGCTAGGAGCGAAAAACTCGGAAAGATAATCATTTTCCTTTTTTTTTTTTTTGAATGCTATTGGCTCTATTACATTGTAGTATCTATTCATAGATAATTATTTTTCTTAAAAGAACTACAATCTAATAACAAGTTTTATCATAATTCAAAATAAGTAAATATTGTATGAGATTATTTCACTTTAAATGTATAATATTTTTCAATTAAAATGTAATATTTGCTATATAAGTTTATGTCATCTAAGGTCATCCGAATTTGGTAATTTTGACACGTTTAATCATAAACTTTCAAATTAACCACCAGTGGTCCTCCGAATTTCGAATTTTGATCTGCCATAGTCCTTCCGTTAACATATGTCATCTGCACTGTGAAAAGTAAGGGCAAAATAGTATTTTTATATCATGTCCAACCAAAACAACTCATTTCCCTCAACAATTAGCCCTAATCTCTTATCAAACTCATCCATAAGATATTGTAACACAGTTAAATCAAAGTTCCAAAATAGGAGTTGGTAGGGAATAACCCGACCGACATAAGCTCTACCACGACCGACTTGCCTTTGTCTTTGTCTTCTTGTCTTTGCAGGTAACAGGTCGGGCTTTTTATGAAGAACCCGGTCGGGAAGCGACCGGAAATTGCCCGAGCATTGGTGTCGACTACCGAACCGTAGCCCTTTGGCGAGAGAGCTGACAAAGGACACGTGGCAGCTCTTTACGACGACAGACAGGGCACCCGGGAGGATGACACGTGGTGGCTACGTGGAGAACATGCCGAACGGCCGGATTCTTGTCCCCGGCGCAGCGGCTATAAATACTCACAATAGCTACAGTGTGAGGGACTTTTGGACGATCGATAGGTTGTTACTAGAGAATCCCGACCGCAGTCAGTCGGCACTCAGAGCAACAAAGTAGATTGTACTTAGGGCCTTTACCGTGATCAATA